TACGCTCGGAGGTATCGGAAGTGCTATCGCCCTCAAGAGAGGTTCATTCTCGCAGAACTCGAACGGTTCCTTTGACGGTACTTTCATCACTCAACCTGACAGAGGTTTCAACGTGTACATCTGGGATCTCTAATCATTGTTGACCATGAGTATACTGACTGTCGATCCTGATAGGGACGGCACCATTGACTGGCAAGGCCGGCAGCACCAGATCGACTTTGTGCTGACGCCATACTACGACGCAGACAACCTTGACTTTGATGACGCGTTGGGCACGCTCAAGCTCACCTACCGGAACACCTTACTTTATACTGAGCGTAATGCCCAGAAGACCACTGGTCTGGACGCCCTTGCCGTGCGGCCCGCAGAGGCATCAAACAACAATGTCACGATTCCGGACCCGGCGCTGCCAATAGCTGAAACAAACGAGCACATGTCTCTCGATGCAGAGGGTCTTGTTCTCAATGCCGACGGAACGTGCGTATCGCCGAACTGACACTGTCGTGACGCTCTTGACTCTCTACCTCAGGTTCTGGACCAGCGACGAATACGGACCGTACATCTATCTGTTCAGCTCCGAGGGCGACCTCATCGAGACTCTGCAACCACCGGAAGCTATCCTCCCGTTCATTGACGGGAAGCTCAACTTCACATCCGATACCGACCCCGACACTGGTCGCGCAGGAAACCAAGGTCACTTAGCTGTTCATTGGCGCGTCCACGTGTAAGCTGACTACATGCGCCTCTTGTCAGGTTTCGAGGGCTTGACGGTCGATTCGACTGGTACAACCCTCTACGCGCTTCTCCAATCCGCGACGATCCAGGATGGAGGCAGTGACAAGTCAACCTCCCGCTATACGCGTTTGGTCGCCTTTGACATCAGCCAACCTCTCGTCTCCCGCCCCCCGGTTGTGGGCGAGTGGGTCGTTCCTCTGCCGCAGAACAAGAAAGGCAACACGCTCGCTGCCAGTGAAGTGCACTTTGTTAGCGATAACGTTTTCCTTGTGCTTTCGCGCGATGGAGACGGACATGGGGGTGACGATAACAACTCTGCATATAAGTGCGTTCCATTACTATTGGTACTATTTTTAATGTTGATCTGCTATCTTCAGGCAAGCGGACCTTCTCGACATAAGCAGCGCAACGGACATACACGGGTCGAAGTTTGACGACCCGAGTAACCCAATCGCTAAGAAGGGCAAGTTGGACAAGAGCATCACGCCGGGAACCTACGAGTCCTTTGTCAGCTTCATCGACGACACGCAGCTTGCAAGGTTCGGCTTGCACAATGGCAAGCCCGCCGACCAGACTCTCATCGACGCAAAGTGGGAGTCGCTCGCGCTCGCACCATGCTTTGATCCCGACTTCCCCGACGACTTCTTCCTGTTCACGGTGGTAAGTGGTGATGACTCGCCGCTGTGTTAATCTGGTTGACGAATTTCAATGGTACGTGTAGGCCGACAACGACTTTATCAGCACCCAAGGTATCTCCTTGGGCCAGCCATTCGACGCGGGGTTGGATGTCGACAACCAATTCATGGTTTTCAGGGTGACGCTCCCCGGCGCGTCCGCGACTGGCGTTTCTACTGAGTCCACTCACTAATGTCGGTGGCAAGTATCTACCACGGTTGAGTGTACTGTAAGGGCACAAATGACTACGATCGCTGAGCGCCATGCTCGTCAGTATCCCCTCCTACCTCTTTGTCCTAAAACCAACTATGCACAACCTCTGAGTAGCACTTGCAAGAGACAATGTAAACGGTATGTCCTTCAGCGTCTGCATCGTCTACACTCTCAACAGTCAATACAACTGACATACCACTCCAGGTGAGATTTATATTATTATAGACGTCATCCACTTCAATTTCCGGATCTTGAGCACATCGTCACTTGTGCTGCACATGGTGTGGTCGGTCTAATCCTCTTCCGGAATTGCGCCATGGTCGCCAAAACTTGAAAGCGGTGCCGGTGTCAAGCCCACACAAACCGTTGCATGTGGCAAGGGGTCGGGTTTGGGAGGCACCGATTCCTGCAGCCTTTATGCACCGCAGAAGCCTCGTCACACGGTGAGCAAATACACAAGAAAAGCTTCAAGCATCGCATAACCACGACGCCACAGCAGGAGCACGCGGGCTAAGCGAGCCCGAGATTTTCCGACTGGGCGGCACCGGCCAGCCGCCCGACGGTGATCTAAGGTATCTAAACGCCTGGACGTTGTACCGTGGAGATCAGGTGCGTGGGACCGCAAGATCTCCTCCTCTGGTTTTGCCAAGCTTCAGGGCCTGTGGTCCATATGCTTCGTTGATGGATAACACCGCATCCTGCACTATGTGATTGGAACATCCTCCCCATGTGATGAGGTAACCTGCGCGCTCGAGACTACCCCGGGAACAATATAACTCACTCGTTTTTCCCCAAGATTTGGGTCTTCTCTTGACCGTCATCTCCACGAGACTTCCCTTGAAGGTCCGTTCAGACCCCCCGTACCCGGTTCAGCGTCGATCGAACAACATGGCTGGGCTGCAAACCGACAAGGACATCCTCGCTGGACTCGCGGAGGCCGAGCGCGATGAACTCGAGCTGGAGAAGAAGGGCCTTGCGTCCCCGCACTCGGGTGAGGAGCATGAGCTCGACGGTATCCACGACGGCCTCGAGTTTCCCACCCAGGAGGAGAAGGAGACACTGCGCCGAGTGCCTGACAGGTTGCCCATCAGCGCATACTGTGAGTACTATCCACTGCGGTTACCCTTGACGGTGTACTCAATCACGCTCCGTAGTGATCGCTTTCTGCGAACTGGCAGAGCGTTTCTCGTACTATGGTTCTACGGTGGTCTTTGTGAGTGTTTGCATACACGAATTTGCACGCCAAAGTATTGACAACCTTCCAAACAGACGAACTTCCTTCAGCAGCCCCTCCCTCCAGGTTCGCGAACGGGTGCAGATGTCGAGCAGGCAGGCGCACTCGGTCTTGGTCAGCGCGCCTCCACTGGTCTCGGCACCTTTAACACCTTTTGGTACGTCGCGCGTGTGCCCGTGAAGTGCTGCGATCTGACATTCTTGTATTCAGGGTCTATGTCATCCCTCTCTTTGGCGCGTACATTGCCGACACATACTGGGGTCGTTACAAGACCGTATGCGTCGCAGTCGGTATCGCCATCGTTGGGCACATCCTGCTCATCGTTTCTAGTGTTCCCGGAGTCATTGAGAAGTCTCACGGTGCTCTGGCATGCTTCGTCATCGCAATCATCACCATGGGCCTGGGTACGGGAGGGTTCAAGGCAAATGTGTCGCCCTTGGTTGCGGAACAGTATAAGCGCACGAAGCTATTCATTGGTCAAACAAGTAGCGGCGAGCGTGTTATTGTTGACCCCATCATGACCACATCGAGGATCTACATGTACTTCTACCTGTTCACCAACATCGGCGCCCTCATCGGGCAGATTAGCATGGCCTACTCGGAGAAGGTACGTCCGCGACTATCCACGAGATTCTCAAAGTAAAAGTATAGTTGACTGAATCTATTTAGTATGTTGGGTTCTATCTCGCGTACACCCTCCCGACCGCCGTATTCCTCCTTTGCCCCCTCGTATTGTTCTTCGGACGCAACATGTACGTCACGTCACCTCCTCGAGGCTCTGTACTCTCCAAGGCATTGCGCATCTGGCGTACGGCGATGAAGGGGCGTTGGTCGTGGAACCCGTTGACGCTCTTCAAGAACATGAACTCGGCTGACTTCTGGGAGTCCGCTAAGCCGAGCCACTTCAAGGCCGAGGACCGCCCTTCCTGGATGACCTTCGATGACCAATGGGTTGACGAAGTGAAGCGTGGTTTCAAGGCGTGCAAGGTCTTCCTGTACTACCCTATCTGGTGTATGTCCTCGCACCACACGTTCACCTCTTCGATTCGCTGACAGAACCGCATTTTAGGGCTCACCTACAACCAGCTCAACAACAACTTGACTTCGCAGGCAGCGACCATGGCCACCCATGGCGTCCCTAACGACGTCCTCTCCAACCTCGACCCCTTCGCGCTCATCATCTTCATCCCGATCTGCGACATCATCATCTACCCCGCCCTACGTCGTGCTGGCATTAACTTCTCCCCAATCAAGCGCATCACGCTCGGCTTCTACACCGGCACCGCGGCGATGGTGTGGGCTACTGTAGTGCAGTACTACATCTACAAACGCAACCCGTGCGGACGGTACGTCTCGACTTGCAAGGACGCGGACGGGCACCCGATCACGGCCGACCTGAACGTGTGGGTCCAGACGGGCTCGTACGTGCTCATCGCGTTCTCCGAGATCTTCGCGTCCATCACCGGTCTCGAATACGCGTTCACGAAAGCCCCCAAGAACATGCGCTCGGTCGTCATGTCCGTGTTCCTGTTCATGAGCGCGATCTCCGCCGCCATCGGCGAGGCGTTCGTCCCGCTCGTGGCGGATCCGCTCCTTGAGTGGAACTACGGCGTCATGGCCGTCCTCGCGTTCGTCGCCGGCACAATCTTCTGGATCCAATTCCGAAGTCTAGACAAAGAGGAGGACGAGTTGAATGCACTGAGCGAAGGGCAATATGACGAGAAACACTGAGTCTGTGGCGGACCTATCCTTGCCGTACGATTGCGACGTTGTACTTATGTATGTGATGATTGCAAGCCATGCTGCACACTGATTTGAATGAACTGTAACCTTGCGTCCCAATGATGCGTACTGATGGAACTATGCTAGAGAATTGTGACCCGTGGCCGTGCAGATAATGGCGAATTTGGGGCCTCAGGCTTCATGATACAAATCGCGTTACTCGAGAATTAGAAGGAGCTTGTAGTCGCTCGAGTTTTCCCATTACACCAGAATTCGGACTTATACATACATACTCACGATACATGTCTGCGACCCCTTCCCCAATGTAGATCAACGGTGCCATGCAATCTTTCCTTGGGACGATCCCAAAAAAACAATCCTCGTACGCACCCCAGACAGACGAAAAGATTAAAAAAGCATATCCTTCGAACCGGGATCGAACCAGTGACCTTGGGATGCCATATCACGTAAACACATTACGTAATGTGAAGTAGCCATTACAGTCCCACGCTCTTCCAACTGAGCTATCGAAGGTTGGGGTGGGTTGGCGTGTAAATTAATCTGACTCGGTTGTACTTTTCCTCAAGGAGTTCGGACCGAAATACTCAGGGAAGGGCGCAGAAAGGCGCGGCCCTGGGTTGACGTTTGTCTGCGAGGATGTTGTGGCTTTGGGCCGTCTCTTTGTCGTCTGCTACTCTGATCTATGCATTGTCTGTGCCCTTGAAAGACTGGAGCTCTGCGGATGCACACCAGCCAGACCAGCCCGGTGTTGTGAGACGGTATGCACTTCCACATCTGCAAGGATGGGAAGTCCAGGACGTACTGCGAGCTGCAGAGGTGCGCACAATTCCTCCCTGTATAGTGGCCTGTCTGGCTCACGGTACTTTTTGGAAGCTTACGAATGGACGCGTCTGGGATACGGGTCCCTCTCATGTTGACGTGCTCTTCAACCATCCCGACCAGGTTTTGGAGCTCCCACTACCTGCAGCCGGCTCAATACCACTGTCCCATCCTGAGGTCCTCGCTGGGTCTTCTGGCAAGTGGAACCTTGGCTCTCTGTCGAACTCGACGTACCATTCCGTCTACCACCCCCTGTATGAGATCAACGAATTCATGGAGGAAATGGCACGCGCATACCCCAACCTTGTCCAACTCGTGGACCTCGGACACACCGGCGAGGGCCGAGAGATGATCGCTATGAAGCTTTCCAAGGAGGTTGAGCTGTCTGCTCACGGCGACGGGACGAGGTCGTCTAGCGTGAAAAAGGCTGGGTTCGTGGTCACTGGAGCGCAACATGCACGCGAGGTTGGTAGCCTTACATCTCATCCAGGAATTAGAGTTGATGTTTCCGTGTATGCAGTGGATTGCTGTGTCCACCGCACAATATCTTGCTCATGCCCTAGTGGCCGACGCCTCGGAAAAGTTTACATTGTCCTCCTGGCTGGACTACTTTGTAAGTCGGTGGACTTCTCCTGTTCATGGCCCTTGAAATTCACCCCCCTTGCAAGGATTTCTATATCATTCCCGTCCCAAATCCTGATGGTTATACCTATACATGGGAAAGTGATCGCTTCTGGTGAGGTTAATGTATCCATAATGGCGTATCATACCATGAGTAACCGACCGGAACAGGTACAAGAACAGGCAGAACGTCGGACCTGCCGAGCAGTGCACAGGCATCGATATGAACAGGTCCGTATCCCTCCTTGTGATCAGGTCGAACACCACTCATCCTGATTGCTCAGGAATTGGGTATATGGTCTCAATGAATTCGGAATGGGCGCATATACTCACTTGATCTCATCCCCAGGGCCACAAGTGGAAGTCAAAGTCCCATCTTCCTTCGTATTCAAACATCACAGACGAGAGCGGGGCAAAAAACCGCCCGGATCCGGACCCTTGCTCGACGTGGTACCCAGGACATCGTCCCTTCGAGGCACCGGAAGTGAACAACATCGCCAACTTCATCACCACTCTACCATCGCTCAAGGCGTTCGTCGACCTACGCAGCTATGGTCAAATGTGTACGTCGTCTCGTGCACCTGAGTTGGCTCGAGAAAGTAGCCCTCTGACGTATTGCAGTCTCAATACCGTTCTCATACTCGTGTAAAAAGACACCGAAGGATGCCGAGGACCAGCTGGAGGCCGCCCTTGGTGCTGCCTACGCTATCAAGCAGGTCCACGGTACTGTCTTCACGGTACGGTAGCCGTTCTCTCTTTTTAAGTCCCACTTCACGAACCTCTTTCGCGCAGACTGGCAGTCTTTGCGAGCAACTCTACAAGTACGTCTTGATAGTCCTGTGGCAGCTGCGCATATCACTCACAATGTGCTCAGAGCATCCGGCAACGTCGTCGACTACATGTACGCCAAAGCCGGGATCAAGTACTCATACTCCGTTCACCTCCGCGACACCGGCACGGTAAGTCCGTCCATCCATCCATTCCTTATCCACGCACGGCATCGCTCAGTCCTCTCGCGTAGTACGGCTTCTCGCTGCCCGCCGAGTGGATCCGTCCCGTTGGGGAGGAGACCGCGAACATGATTCGGTCCCTCGCAGGGTTTATCTCCAAGAAAATGAAAGGTCAGTTGACTCTACATACCCTACAGGGCGAAAAGACGGGCCTGACCCCAGATGTCAGTGTGATGATGCACTGTGTAGCACCTTTTTCTGTCCTCGATCCTCCCTCTGTCGTCGCTATCTGGTCTTCCTCGCTGTGTCACAACCTATGTGCTCTCGCCGTGTACGAATATACAAACCTTCCCGGATCCTTTTCCTGGCACCACCCGTGGTATCCATAGCGAAGTCCCGCCACCGCCCGCCCGCTCCGAGGAGAGTGGTGATCTGGGATTGGTATATGCGCCAATATGTACGAGTACACTGAAGAATGAACGATCTATGCAGGGAACACAGCACGTACGCATGATGGTAATGAGTATGCATGAGAAAGAGTACGAGTTCATACGGGATAAGGAGATTGGGAGGGATGAGAGTACCCGGGGGAAGACGGAGACAGAGTACGGCGAGTGTATGGAGTGTGTAAGCACGGACGATGGATGATGGATGAATAGATGAGAGGAGCAACAGGGAAACTAATAATGCAACAACTGGGCGCGAGCAACTATTACGCGGAAAGAGCCCAGGACGTAGTCCGACCGTCCACGGAATAATAAATGCATGCTACATAAGCGAGATAATAAGAAGACCACGACAGCAGACGAGAGTGTCTGACAACGCGCGAGGGCGGCTGGTTCGCGAGGTCTCGAGATAGGAGGCTGAGGGCGAGCAACCGACTCACGAGGTGCTTGCGGCCGAACGCACCACCCGTCCTCCCGGCGCCATCTGTGCGCACAGACATACACCTGCATACATATCACCCTGCGAGCGGGCCCCGGCTCCGCCGCCTCTCGTCACTCGCGCTAGGCTCGGGGTCCATCCGCCCCAGCACCTCCTCGCTCGCAATACTGAACCCGCTCCTCACGCTCCCCGTTGACGCGAGCCGCGGCCGCACGTACATCGGCGGCAGAGGCACCCCGGGCATGACGATGGCGCCGCTTGCCCCTGCGCTGTCTGTCTGCGGGGACGGGGGCACGCTGGAGCTCGCGAGGGGACTCTCGCGCCGCACAGCCGACGGCGTCGAGTACAGCGGCGGACGAGTTGATGGGCTTGACCGGTCGTTCCTTTCCGCCGCGCTCGTGCTCCCCTCGCGCCTGCGCGAGCCCGACCCGAGGCCTTGCAATGACGCGAGGAACGTCTCGTTCATCTCGCGCAGACGCTCGTCTACTTCCGTTGCGGACACGGGGCCGGGGAACGGCGTCGAGAGAGTGCGCTGCCGTGATGGACCGGCGGCGGGCGCGACGTCGCTCGAGTGCGCGGAGCTGGACTCCTCCGCAATGGTGGCTTCACGCCCATGTCCCTGGGGAGGAAGAGGAGGAAGGGAGCCGGCAGGGCTCTCTGAGCCTTCGCGTCTGCTCGGAAGTGGCTTACGGGCGTCAATATCCTGGACGAAGGCGGAGATGTCGTCGTCGTCGGTATTCGTGCTCAGGTAGGATGTGGCCTAGAAGGGATACACTTGTCAGCTCGCAGGCACGGAAAGGGGGAAATCCGAAAAACGCACCTTCTCTACTTCCTTGGGTGCACTGCGCGGACTACCTCTCGGACTGGCCTCCCCGGTTCCGGTTGGTGTGGCAAAGCGCTGGCCGAAGCTGCTTGAATATCGCTTTCCCTGCATCCTCGGGGAGCCTGACGGGAGGCCGCCAGAAGGACTCGCAGATACACCTTCCATGGATGGAGGTCGGCCCGAGCCCAAGCTCGATGGTACGAACGGCGGTGATGGTCTGAAGGGGGTCACGGGGGATGAAGGGAAGTTGCTTGTAGGCGAAGGTGGCACACGAGAAGACGTGGGCGACTGTGCTGGACGCGAGGGAAGCGATGGTCCCATCCCAGTCGAGAGCGGTGAGTTGTGGCGGAGGGACGGGGAGGGGGAGTGTAACGAAGGTGACCCTGACGAAATGGTAGATGACTTGAACGCATTGACGGCAGTAATGGGTCGTCGGATTGGTACACCGGCAGCGGAGGCGACCTCCTACGTCAACGAGGTCAATATATGCACTGGCAAGGGTGGCGAAGACCACGTACCGAGCCTCGACCTTGTAAGCTCTCCCGTCTCATACGCGCAGCAAGCGCAGATACCTCCTCCCGCGAGCCGATGGACGCTGCGCCTTGTCTGGAGGAAGACGAGTCCGATACGCCTGAAGTACCCATTCCCGCACCGGACAGGTTCCGCGACACTGGCAGAGGAATGTTCCCCAATCGCGGACTCGCCCCCGGACTACCCTTCGCGGGTTGCGTGGACGAGAAGGAGCCGGATCGTGTGTGTGTAGCAGAGGGCGGTGGTATCACGAACCTATCCGCGACGGACCGCGGGGGTGAACGGGGCAAGGATGTGCGAAGGGGGAGGCTTCCTGGCGAGCCGGAGATACTATCGCGCTGTTGGTTCTTGACGAGGGTCGGGGTGAAGTCGGGCCCTTCCTCCAAGGACAGGAAGCGCGAGGACAATATGGATTCGAGGTCGTCCAGCCGGAAGTTGGGGGACGTGAGGTACGTGACGGCCATGGACAGCTCGCCCATGGGGTGCGTGATCGGGGGTAGCGAGTGCGTCTCCTTGTGCAGTACTGATGCTAATGTAGACGGCATCGTATCTGTATTTCGAAGCAGGAGACAAGCGAGGCGACGAAGTCAGTCATCTGCGGTTCCGGAAGAGACGAAGGCTGGAAGCGGGAAGGTTGGTAGTGTGAAGAGCGGCTACGCTGATAGCGAAACGTGCTCGTCCCACACCCCGGCGGAAAAGGCAATCGAGGCAAGTGGTATGCACGAGTGACTCACCGAAGCTCATGACCTCGCCCGCCTGCACGCTGCTGTCCACGCCATCAACACGCAGCTGTATGCTCAAGTTGCCCCCTCGGTTGCCCCCGACCCGCCTGCGGAGGCGCCGCGCCAGCTTCCAGGCGGGAAGCACACGCAGCATGGTGAAGA